TCAAGGCAGACCTTATATCTGTACCCATTTCCGAAGCTCCTCCATTTGAGGCAATCTCCTATCGTTGGGCCTCCGGCAATGAGGTTCCCATATTGCTTGACAAGCAAAGGTTCGCGGTTGCTGGTGAGGTACACAAATTGCTTCGTACCTTGCGATACCAACTGGAAGATCGGCTGCTCTGGCTGGATTCCATTTGCATCGATCAAAAGAATGATGACGAGAAGAGTTGGCAAATCGGATTCATGAAAGAAATTTACAGCTCCTCGGAACAGGTCATTGGGTGGATCGCAGTTACGCCCGAGATACCATATCTCCCAGGTCCTTTTTCCTCCCTAAGGGAAATTGGAGCGCTTAGTGAATCGCCTGAAGGGTTCTTTCAATTATATCTTTACGGTGATCTGTGCACACAATTGCGTGCCTCCATAATTTCACTGAGCAACGAGTTCTTCTTTCGAACTTGGATTATCCAAGAGGTTGCTTTAGCACAGAAGTTGATTCTCAAGTTTGATCGCGAGGAAACAACATGGAGGGCTTTGTCGACGCTGTTAAGTCTTTCTTACTAGTTCATACTCTCTGCGCATCGACAGCAAACTTTGGAGCGATATTTCACAGCCGCATAGGCGAGGCGATGGAAAAAATACACAAGATGGAAGAGTTCAGGTCTACCCGCAAGAGCATACCAGACGGCCTACCGCTGAGCCAGCTGCTTCTCGGGTCTGCCGATTTCCATGTTACAAATCCACGAGATAGAGTCTTCGGAATTCTAGGCCTCTCAACAGACAAGGCTAGAACAGCAGTTCCGATTCGATATGGTACAGATACAACAGACCTGATGGTAACAATCAATGCCGCTAGATTTGCATTAAGTGAAGAGTCTTCTTTTCGTCTACTTGAACTGGGGGGGATAGGCTACCTGCCCTCTGAATTCGCAAGCAAGTTCGATGGGCCTTCATGGATACCGTGGTGGGAGTCTCCTCTGATATCTGTCTTGAAAACATTTGCTTCAACATGCAACAAGCTCTACAAGACTGCGACGTGGGCTCAGGTTGTTATCACTAGTGGAAATTATACCTCAAGTGTGCTGGGGATTCAAAGCATTTATGTCGACAAAATACGGGTTCTATCCCATCCATGGTTCGCACTCGATCAAATTCTCGCGGGTAGCTACACCACTACCGAAGAAGCCTATCACTTATTCTCGGGACTTCACGTTGCCATAGAAGAGTCCTTTCAAATAGTGCAACATGCGCACCACTCCATATACAATGATATAGACCGCCGGAGTCTTGTGTGGCGAACGGTATGCCACGAGAGCCGAAAAGGGCAAAATGATGAAGATCTCCAAAGTTTCGAAGAAGATGCAGAACAAGTCGAAGCAGCTGTTCGAGAGGCCAGAGAGCTGCTCCGGGCACTGATAGAGCGAGGAGACAAAGGAACAGGAATGGATTCAATCGAGGGCTTGCGTATGGGTAGTTGTCTCACAAGGTTGAGGCACCTATGCCCAATGCAAAGGGCACGGCTATGCATTACAGATAACGGCTATTTTGGAGTAGCTCCAGCATATGCTAAGGAAGGAGATCAAATCTGGGCATTTTTAGGGGGGCCAAATCCATTTGTCTTACGGGCATCTTTGGATTTAGCAGAGTCGAAGGTAACGAAGGCACATCAACTTGTTGGTGTCTGCTACGTCGATGGCATTATGCATGGAGAACTTGAGAATGCAAGACTTGAGCCTACTCAAGTTAACCTTGTTTGACCTGCGTTCGGATATGATGTCGATATAATCAACCAGAATCTCGTCACTCATGCGCGTAAATCTGCAGAGTCGAGTGTTCCGCAGAGTCGACAAACACTTTCCGCAGACAATTTGTAGTCTGTATGATGCTTGCTTCTTTCTCGGGGCAAAAGCCTTCACGTGATTCCACGTCCTTGTTGCGGCAAAGGTGATTTGTACAGTATAGTCCTCACAAAAACACTCAAAATCTTGGCCATGGGGCCCGATCTGTCCCCTGCCGATGCCTCGATGATATACAGTAAAGGTTAATTGAAACAATGCAGGAAGTCATCGCTCAAAAGTTGAAGTGGTTGAAACACAAATCTGGGATCAACAAGTTTCAAGAAAGACTCAAAGACGCTAAAATACAAGTGCTCCCTACTTTGATTACATTGAGTGTGGAAGTTGTTGAAGATCCGTCGGAAGGTTTTACGCCATTAGCCTCATCATCTAGTACCAGCCAAAATTAGCTTAGAACTTCAAAACGCTCTGTCGGCAGTCAATTAATAAATATAGGAGGCTCAGCTTCTTATTCCAAACTTTCAAACGAGACTCCACCTTAAGCTAAAGAACTAACGACGAAGCTACTGCAATGCAAAGCATTATAAACTCACAAAACAATGTTGATCGGGCATCACAAACTAACCATATATTGAATGGAATACCAAATATAAAACAGGTCAAGAATCTCAATCCTGCTCTCTTCCACACATCTAACAAAAGCTGCAATGAGAGTGAGAAATCCAACCAAGTTAGTGAGGAGACTCTATCCATATATGTGATTGATTATAAAAGATTTTTGTGTCATTTTTGGAATAAAATTCTGCAACTTTATAGATATGTAAATGGATTGATTGTAGCTTGCTGAACAGCTACGGAGCTCTTGTTTTAATACTTCGTACAGACTCTGCACAATATCCAGCTTTTAAGTCCCTGTGCTTTTCAAAAAGATCTGTCAAAGCCCCTGGACTAACCAAAGAGTATATGATTCGTGAATACTATAATTGACCTTCAAGGAATGACTGATAAATGTATTGCAGTGTTTCCAACGAAGAGAAGATATAAAAGTACCAAGAAATCGTTAAAAGTAGCATTGCCAAGCATCAAACATGCTGGACGAAGAAATCTGGAATATAAAGCCTGCACAAAGTGCAAGCATCCATAAGCATGCATGCGCAGGTGTTCTTTACTGCTATGCCTCCTAACGGCACAGCTGGGCAAGCCTTGGCGGGGACAAGTTGATCAATTGGTCGATTGTTCCTAAGGCCAATGCATCAATTATCCTGAGCTGCCTAAACAGAGACTGTGCGTACATCCTGCAGGTGGTCCTCACAACACGTTACATCTCATAAAATGCGATCTCAATCAGAGAGGCTGCGGGGTTGCGGGGTCGCGGTTACAAGGATCTAGATACTGGTAGTATAAATTGGTATCAACATAAAGGAAGCAAAGGCTCGGCTCATGTTTCCTTGCGCAACTCTGAGCGCCTGGACTCTATTTCGAGAACTTTAGACTATAGCGATATTATTTTACATCTTAGTCTTCAACTTGCGTCAATTTTGCTGTCTTTTAAGCCCCCCTGACGCATTTCACCATAAAGTAATTGCAAATAAAGAGCAAGACTTATCTGGGGTGTTGAGAATATCAGAAGAGATGCATCTCACCACTCTCGTGCTCTTCATGGCGGCTCTTGCCCTCCCAATTCAAGCTGTCCACGTTCCATACCTCCAGGTCCCAGCCTGTCCCAGGCAAGGCACCATCCAATACCACAAGAACCTAACAGGCCAAGACTTTCCTCTGACACAAGTAGACCTCTGCTACAGCGATTCCACTATTGAGTTCACTTTTACAGCCTTCAACGAGACTTCTTTCTATGCAAATGCCTCCCTGGGCACCAATGACCAGATCTGGCGCTATGAAGTCATGGAGGCTTTCATCTACCAGGGCACCAAAGACCCACAAACGTACCTCGAGTTCGAGGTCAGCCCTGCGAACCAGACCTTCCAGGCTTTCATCTACAATCCGTCCAAGGTCCGCGCTGCTGGCGCGGTTTTCGATAGATTTTATATTGAGAACATTTATGCGGTTGGCCTGACAGCGACAACGACGCTAAATAAGAACGCCAAGATCTGGGTGTCAAAGGCGAGCATCCCGTTGGGTCTTTTCAATGTGGATAATGGGACGGCGAAGGGTACGCAGTGGCGCATGAACTTCTTCAGAACGGTGACGGATGCGGGGTTTTATCCGAACCAGTTTTATGGTGCTTGGAATCCGCCAAATGAAATCAACTTCCACATGACTCCATTCTTCGGCAAGGTCAAGTTCGTTTGAGCGGTCTTCCTGATGGGAAACTGGCGGTGATGTGTTAGATAGATATTTCAAGTTCGATTAAGTAATACATCATCAAAGTAGAAGCTATTTTATCTCTGGAGACTTCATGGAGAAGAAGCGATGTCTTGAAGAGAGTTTTTCGAAGGTCGGTGGTGATTTCCATGAAGCCTGGGGCTCAGTAAATATTTCCACATTAAGAAATCCCAAGTAATAAGCCAAGGGAATCCTGAAAACAAATGGCTAAAACTAAGATGAACCGCCGCTTCCTCGTGTGACGGAAAGTCTAGTCTCAAGGTAACTAGTGCTATGACATATGAATGAAGCCTTGACGTATCCTTGAACCTTGAAGACATGTGCTAGTAAGTGAAAATAGTCTACCCTTCAAGCTTAAGAAATCAACTATACTCTTGGAATACCAATTCTCATATCAAAATTTCTAGTTGATGCGCAAGACTAAACTACAAGATTATATATATCTTGATTAACTTAACTATATGTTTTTCTATATGCACACCATATCCCAACAAACAGCAACATGGCCTGCTGGCCCAATGGCAAGGCGTCTGACTACGAATCAGGAGATTGCAGGTTCGACCCCTGCGTAGGTCAATTTTTTCGTGTTTTTTGCATTCCTCCACTCATCACTATTTTTAATGCAATATAAATGATTAAGACGGCACTGCGCTTTCCTCTCTCTCTTTTTATTTTGGTGCATATTGTGCGGCTCAGCCGTAGCGTGCGCTTAGCGAGGCGGGGACAAGTGGGTCTTCCCAAGCGAGTGAATAGGAGACCAATGAGGTTTGGCCCACCTAGGATTTTTTTTTTTCATTCCAAGTCTTGACGAGAAACGAAATAGGAAAGCATATAAGAAATATACTTGTCAAACTTTTTAATTGGGGATATGGTCTAGGGGTGTAAGTTCTTGTTCAAAAGCAACGCAATCGATAATTTCTAACCTATCAATAGATGATTTTCCTTTCGCATATTCAGATTGAATCTAGCCTAGGAAAGGTCGTGGGTTCAATTCCCACTGTCTCCACAGCTTTCTTTTTGCCATTTCTTAGTTATGACTTGTGGTTAAAAACATTTCTCAATGTGTTGTATCAATCGGAAAATAAACAGCCGGTTAATGAATGCGTAAATCGTTGCTCATTCATAACCAATAACTCAGCAATGTATTCCATGCCATATCTTTTGTAGTCATTTTTTGATGCGAATTCTTCCATTACTCCAGTTGAATAAGCATATCTCGCACAATCACGCATGCCCAAATTCCAGTCAGTAGGCCAATGACGGGGGCCACAATAGAGACTGCAGCTGCCTTCGAATCAGTCGAAGTAAATTTAGTAGGAGCTGCTTCCGCGGAAGTATTAAAAAGCGTGGAATATGGGGTTCCAATATTTGTAATAGCAGTGGTTGCAGCTGTCATTCGAGGCTCTGTGCTTAAAGCTGGACTTGACTTGTTGGTAACAACACTGGTCGGCATGGTAGTTTCTCCAGATCCTATGCTCGTGCTTGATGCTACAGTACCCAGCATGGATCCCGTCCTCGTCCTGCTGCAATATCAGTCGAGAATATCCTCTACCTATTCTCAGGGCACATACGGCTCTGGTAAACCTGGATTTCCACCGAGGCTTGATGACGCGACATCTCGCGGTATGCTTGAGAAAGACCCCACTCCCGCCTCAGAGATCACGTTCCCGCTTTGGGTAGATATTGATACTTGACTAGAGTGCGAGCCGGCTATGCTTGTGAGGAATACTGTGGTAGACAAGGTTTTGAGCCTTCGAGTCGAGGTGCCATTTACAACACAAAGCTGCTCCCATATTGGAGAAATGATCTTCTTTTGGCTCGTTTGACACATATCCGGATATCTCGCAATGCAGTAGTGAATCCAGCCCATGACGTCGCTGTGGATAGTGTTGCTGCAGAAGGACTGGCATTGAAAAAATAATTCAGCGCCCTCGCCGCGGCAGAGACAGTTTGGTTGTTCCTTGATAGTGTAGTACAGCTTGGAGCAAACCGTATTAACCGCATCTATGCAGCTTTTGCAATCGATGATACCAACAAGAGTGTTGCTAGACAGGGCTGGCAGCGCGAGTATAAGGATGCTCCCGAAGCTTTTCATGTTTGTTGCTGGATTTTGGTCTAAGGAAAGTTTTTGATAAGTGGGTAATCTAGAGAACAGAGCTAAGTTTATATCCAAAAGCTTTAGGAGTATTGAGTAATTTCAAGTGTTCCATATACTGTGAATGTTCGGAGCATGGTAACAGGAATATAGACATGATTGTTGTTGAGGAGAGTGACCACATTATGCAGAATTCATCTCTGAGCGTACTTGCCCTGCTAGAGGTGGCTTGGAGCTCCATGGAAGCTGAGATTGTTACGCATTCTCACGAGGTGCCGCCCAGCGGAACTGATTAGGATGAACAATTCAAGTAATCTCAATTCACTTGGATGGCAGGAAACTGGAAAAAGCACGCGACACTTGTTGATAGAAGTGTTCAATTACGCTAATTGAAGAATTAAACCTTGCAAAATTAAAAAAAAACGATACCAGTATAGACTCCGACGATGGCTGGGCGTAAACTCCAGAATACCGGAACGGTCGGTGTCGAGGCAACACTAGCATTATTCTTCAAGGAAGATGAAGTCAGCGAAAACGTTGGCTCCACGGCTATGATGGAGGGCGAGCTTACAATAGTCGCCTCTGGAGAAGTGATGCTTGTGAGTGTGCGTATTGGTGCGGTCGTAGCTCCTATTCTTTCTATTGTCCTGCCTTGTGGTTAGAATAGAACTTTTTGTCTTGCGTAGGGCCACCTATTGCTCTGGCGTAGGTAGATCCGCTTCACTTATGGTGTATGTTATTATGAGGCTTGTGGCGATAAAGCATAGAGTGGGTATCGAGGTCTGAATGGTTGTCAAGGTTTTGAGCCTTCGAGTTGTGGTGCTTGGTAAAGAGTTACTCGAAGAACAAAGTAAATTCCATACAGCCTTTGGGGGGATGTGTTTTCAAAATATGGTTCAGTGCACAGGCCCTTAAACCGGCTTCTGCAGTATTGGATCCAACTCGTCGTGAGACGTTTCACTTCGTATGGCGCTTCGGTAACACAGATATCGTTGCAGCTGGCAAATCGAGCACCACCCCCACCAAAGCACATACATTCAGGCTGTGAGGCCGTCACTAGGATACTACACTGTTGAGTGAGAGGCTTCAAACAACTTTCGCAGTTGGGATTGGAGATATTGGGCAAAAGAGAGCTGGCAGCAAAGACTGAGCTACAGATTAAGATCGTCCACAGCCTTTGCATGTTGTAGGTATATCGAGAATTTTGTGAGTAATTTGACGAGGGAAGCCATGTGGTCTAAATAACTACCAAAGCTTAATGGTTTGAATCACCAGAAGCATCATCTTGCTCTTTGACAGCCTTTACAAGTTTTCAGTAGCGCGGTCATGAATGTTCTTAGCCCAGTTATGAAAACACAGCTATCGGCATTAGAATGATCTTGATCAACTACCATGGAAATTTGCAGTAGATGCATGAGCTATGAAGTCTCCGATGGAAGCAGTAGATACTGGAACAAGCAATTAGAAGCCGGTGGAGGATAGATATGGATTAAATTTATGTCTAGTACTGTATCGATGAGTGATGGATCTTAAAGTACTACAAACAAGGGCCCAACCCCTGGTAAAAATACCCTCCGCTGATAGACATACACGCAAGCAAAGAAAATTTAACCAATTTATAGAAACGACAAGCAAGGGGACATAAATCAAATAGGAACCCGATAAATTCCAACATATTCTCTTGAGAACGAAAGCAAATTATGTTCGGTGCATCAGAAAGCATATCAAAGCATAGGCAAAGCCTCAATTATCTGTATAAATTGAATCAAAGTTTGAAAAATTGTCAGGAAAGTCTTTGAAGACGGCAATTTTTTCGTCGCCAAGCTTGGCCCTTGATGCCAATTTCGCAATACAATAGATGGAGGTGAGCCAGCAGGATAGCCAACGCCTGATCGAAGTATCAATTATGGATCCCCTCCACGCATTACATCCTCCAATATGTTAATCGTCGTGCCCTCTGCTACTTTTTGTAAACGCTGGAGAGCATGCTCATTGTTGTCACCAGGATTCTGGTTGACAGGTAATTGTAGAGTGACCCTCACGATACGCGATTAGCCAAAGCGACTACCAACGAGACCTTGGGAATGCCAACAATTGGCCATCAGATCCATGTCAACCAGAGTGTCGGGATTATGAGCTGCAATGGGTATTACAAAGATTTGACTCTGTAGAAATAAACGAGCGTAAGTAAAAACATGGCTAGAGAGATCTCCAACACTTTGTAAATGTTCATAGAGAAGACCAACAATCAGACTGTCGCGTCCTACGGTGTCACGACGCGCGTGCAAATATAACCGGAACAGAGAAATATAGCAAGTTTCCAGAAGGTACCGAAATAAATATCATTCAAGAAACTTGCATGGCATAAAGTGTATGGACTCACCAATACAAATACGCAACGAGTCAACTAGGCCCTCATACATGAAATACCTTTTATTTCAATTCCTTGAAGCGCCATCTATGCAATATACATGTTATACTGTACAGCGATCGTACACTAGTTGAGGTCTACCTATTGTACAGTTCCCTCCTTGCCGCATTAATCTTGATCTGCTTATCTTTCTCTATCGCCGCTTCCTTCTCCCTCTGTGCTGCTGCCACCCTTCTCTTTTCTGCCTTTACCTTGTCTTCTTCTGTGACGGGTAGTCCTAGTCCTTTAGGAGGTTCCCATGTAACTATTCCTTTTGCAGCGGCTGCTAACCTCTTTTCTTGCCCTGCCTCAGCGGCACGCCCGAGAACCCCAGCTATGACTTGTACACATCGTAAACTTTAGTGTCTGTTAGCATATTGTGAGAAGAAGTTTCAGGGCGGGAAACTGACCTGTCGTCATTGGCTGGAATAGGATATGTAACCCAAGTTGGATCCGCGTTTGTATCTATCACTCCGATCGTAGGAATATTATTGAGACCACATTCGTGCAGGAGGAGATAATTCTCCAATGGATTCAGGACGACCACCAAGTCCGGCTTAAGAGCTGTCCAATTCTGGATCTTTTCATCAAATCCATCGACGTCTCGGTCAAGTCTGTCCACTGCCCGGATGGCGCATTTTCTCAGAATCTCATTACCATTTGTGATGGTTCCTGGCTTCCAGCGCTCGAAGAGGTGGCATCCTCGAGCTAATTTCGCAGCTTTCACAACACATGCTGATTGTCCTTTGCGAGTGCCTACAAAAAGGATGAGACCTCCATGGTATGCCACCCCCTCAACAACCTTTGCCGCACGTCTAAGATGCGCAGCCGTTACCTCGAGCGAGATTATATGAATTCCCTGCCGGATACCATAAATGTAACGTTGATTCATGGGATTCCAGACACTGGTTGAATGTCCCATATGACTCTGCGATGCCATCAACAGCTCCAGTGTGATGTCTTTCGGTCGTGGCGGATTGTGAATAAGTTCTGAAGGCTCATATTCAGGTGTTGGCACGGATCCCAGTTTATGTGTACGTTTCCTAATCGTTCTAAGGAGGTTGTGGTTGGCTGCCACTTCATGGTCTTCCTCCCCTGCATCTGAAGGCGGCACAAATCTTTCTGCTATGCTCAGCTGGTTTATGCTGGCCTCGATGGAGTGCGTCTCTTTCGTGGTATTTTCTATAGATTGCGCAATGGCTTCGGTTTCGTGCAACAGAGTTTCTGTCTCTATGGAAAGTGACCTGAGGAAAGTGTTTCGATATTGTGTAGCAAATGCTCGTCGGCCTGGTAAAAGTCAATTATGTTGCAATATACTATACCGGATGTCCGTGAGCTTACCATGCCGGACGGCAAAATTTCTGAGAATCATTGTTGGAGTGAAGTGCTCGTGATACCCGTCAACGAGACTTTTCGTGGTCTGAATCTCTCCACAATTTTTTGAGATCAGAATACACTAGTCCTTTTTGGGCTATCTATCAACTAACTTGGTTAAAGTTCA